ACAAAATCGTCGGGGAGGTGCCGAGGAATTTTTTCGAAAAATATTGGAAAATCGATTTTGCTTATTTCGTTTTTCCAAAATTTTTCGAAAACATTCCTCGGTACCCCCCTGTCGATTTTGTCAAAAACCGAAATCTGTCAGATCGCAACTAAAATATACCCATTGATAGTTCATTTTATGTAGAATTGAATGCTGAAAACGGTTTTCCGATATCTCTAACAGATTTCGAGTTATTTGAGAAAATCTACAAAAGAAATATTTTTTTCTGTAAATATGGACTCCGTATCAGAAAAACTTCAAATATTCCAACCGGTCAACGTAGATGAATCCATTGCTCGAGGAGAATGGCATACTTATCAGCCGTTCACCAAATCATTTAAGAACAGCGATGAGATGGAAATTGTTATTAATCAACAGGATGTGTTTATGGATATTAGCCAAGTCGAATTATACATTGAAGCCAAATTTCTGGAAGAAGTATCGGCAGCTGTGAAAACAGGAAAATGTTCTTTAACAAATAACGTTGGAGCATTTCTGTTTGAATCGATAACATATGAATTAATAGAAACGTAATCGATAAAGTACGAGATCCAGGGCTTATAAGTACCGTTAAAAGTCTTTTATACCTCAATCAAAATGAAAGTACTGCCCTTGATGTAGCGGGATGGAATTGGCCGAGCGGAACTGTGAAATCATATGAACCATAAACGGATAATTTCAGTCTCCTAATACCATTAAATTTCCTGTTGAATGTCTTCTCCGATTATACTAGCGCAGCTATTATGGAAACGCAGAAATTGAAGCTTGTACGTGCCAAAAAGGATGACAATTGCTATGTTAATTCAGAGGGAAACAAGAAAGTAGACATCACTATTTTGAATATCGAGTTAAGAGTAAAACATATCTACCCGAGCGATTCTGTGAAATTAAAATTGTTTGAAGCAATTTCCAAGGATAAACCGATATTTATTGGATTTAGGAAATGGGAAATTCATGAACTACCTGCTCTACGACAAGCGAGAAAAGATGTATGGACAGTGAAGGCAGCATCTGAACGAGCGAGATATGTTATTGTATTCTTTCAAGAAGATCGAAAAGATAACTATAAAGCTAACGGCACATATTTCGATAATTTGAAAATTACAGACGTTAAGCTTTATCTAAATTCCGAAGCCTACCCATATGAATCCCTAGATTTAAATTTCAGCACTAGACAGTTTACTATGTATATGTAATCGATTGCTCAAAACAAAACGAGGCTCTGAAAAGTAATGTGATAGATGTAAAGCTAGAATTTGAGAGTTCGGAAAATTTCCCCGAAAACACCCGAGCATTTTGTGTCATCATATACGATCGAGTCATGGAATATTTACCTTTATCAGGATATGTTAGAACGCTAATTTAATCAGTTGCTGCAAGACATTGATACGATGAAGTTCGTTGTTATATATGTACAAGGATTTTCCATACCCGAATTTAAGGTTAAGGAATTATCCATATACGATGGAAAAGAAATGAAAACATATGCATTTAAACCGAAGATTTGTTACCACCATCTGCCGATACACCATAAGAAGACGATAAATTATATATTTCACAATGTTCATGGAATCCCTCATAATTCAGGGTATTTACCCTATAAGGCGATGTATGACATAATACAAGAGGAATTGGAAGGTGTCGATATGGTTTTCGTTAAGGGATATATTAAAAAGGAATTTCTGCTGTGCACGTACTACGAAATAAATCTTGATCCACCCTGTATAGTGAACTTGGAATTTACTTCTGGACCTGTACCGAAATTAGAACAATCATACAGTAATTGTAATGATCATAAACTGGAAATATGTTCTTGTACTGTAAATAATGCTCATATATTATATGATTATATTATAGACATTTTAACTCAATAAATTTAAATCTATTAATATCCAATATTTTTTTTACTTATTAGCCCCGTAGATTAATATTAGCTCATTTTACTGTAAACCATTGTCTTGTTCACATCGCCCTCAACAAATCGTTATGGATCAATCAAGTGTATTAGAACCAATAATTAATGTAGCATTAAACATTGCCGAGAACTTGACAGAAAAGCAAATTGTTTTCCAAATTACAAACAAGAAGAAGAAGATTCAAATGTCATATGAAGGTTTTTCAACGTTTCTAGACTTTGTTGATGAAAACGTTAATAGTGGTTGGTGTGATAAATCTATAGAAATTGATGGACATTTAACCATAACTTATGCTTTTGAAGAAGAAGTGAAAGTGCTGATAATTCAAGATAGGAAATGGAAACTTATATTGATTGGGAAGATGATTGTATATTGTTATTTAAATACTGTTTACCGATTTTTTATAATTTACTAGATGAGAGAAATGTGGAAAATAAATACACAGTGAAATGAAAAATTGTTTTATTTAGAATACTGTAAATATTTTTTTTATAAAATCAGTCTTGTACAGGATGGTCGAAATAGGTCTGTTTTAACAGAGAAACCCTATTTCCTGACTAGATAGAGCAAAACCGACATAAATGTCATGGACTCGATTTCTGAGACATGTTTAATGGCGTAAACCACCTGTTGATATTTTCACTGCCAGTTGGCAGTCACCCCGTATCTCAGTTGAGATACCTTTTTGAATTTTTTACCATTTTGAAAATTGTCCATAACTTTTTAATTTGGCGGAATAATAAAATTCTGTAAAAACGTTCTTAAGGCACTTTTTTAAGCACAATCCAGTTTACTCTTTTTTTAGCACAATCTATGTTTGCTCTTTTTGTCAGAAATAATAAAAAATATAATTTTTTAAATGGAAATCATAGTTGGCTATGAACTTAAAAAAATGGTGGCGTTTAACCCTTTCCAACGATATAAAGTTATGAGTATCTATTTCTAAGAATGAGAGAAATATTAGTTTTTTTTTATCTTTATATCGAAGCGGGCCTTGATTTTGTGTTGACCTATTGGCCTAGATATTTTTATCACAATTTATATTCTATATTATTTATATGCATAATTAAAGACTTTTGAAAAGGTAAATTACCATTCTATATTAGCATTACTAATTACAATTGAAATCGATACAATAGACAATGAACAAAACCAATAAAACTTATTTTTTGAGTGACGAATATAATTTTCTAAAAAATACCATCAAAGATGTTCAAACAGCACCTACTTGTTGAATACACAATAAACATCTTTTGCGCACAGAGTTACAGCGATTTCTTAGACGAACCGGTGTAATAAGTCCAAAAGTTTGCCTAGGAGCCTTCTGCAATTCTTCTCTCGTCCCAATGGTTCTTCCCATATATATAAGGTTTTTTAATTTCCCCCATAAAAAAGTCGAAAGGGGTTAAATCACAGGACCTAGCAGGCCAAGATATGGGGCCCCTTTTTCCAATCCAATTCTCTCTATAAATTCTCCATTTAATAGTTCCGTTATAACCCTGGCGTTGTAATTGTAATTGGTTATACTAATATAGAATGTTGATTTACCTTTTCAAAAGTCTTTAATTGTGCAGATAAATAAAAATATAGAATATTAAATTGTGACAAAAAAAATTAGGCAACTAGGTCAACACAAAATCAAGGCCCGCTTCGATACAAAGATAAAAAACCTAATATTTCTCTCATTCTTAGAAATAAATACACATAACTTTATATCGTTGGAAAAGGTTAAACGCCAACATTTTTTTAAGTTCATAGCCAACTATAATTTCCATTTAAATTTTTTATTTTTTATCATTTCTGACAAAAAGCGTAACTGACAAAAGTATAGAAAACAACTGACTACGCCACTGAATTGTGATTAAAAAAGTGCATTAAGAACGTTTTTACAGAATTGTATTATTCCGCGAAATACAAAAGTTATGAGCAATTTTTCAAATGGTAAAAAATTCAAAAAGTCCCCATATCTCAGTTGGCAATGAAAATATCAATAGGCGGTTTACGCCATTAAACATGCCTCTGAAATCGAGCCCATGACATCTATGTCGGTTTTGCTCTATCTAGTCAGGAAATAGGTTTTCTCTGTTAAAACAGACCAATTTCGACCACCCTGTACAATATAAAAGTTTGAATTTTTTTTTCAGTATTGTTAAATACATGTGTAAAATAAATATATAATAAAAATAATTACTTCTGTTAGGAAAAATTACTAAATTTGAATACAGCCATTGAAAAGCTTAAATCAAACAGTAGACATAGTAGAAAACGTCTAAATTTGTATACAATATAAATATGTTAAATATAGCAACCTAAAATATATTGAATATAATACTAAATAAAAAATAATATAATAATAACATAAAAAATATAATAATAATATAAAAAAATTGTATACAATATAAATATGTTAAATATAGTAACCTAAAATATATTGAAAATAATACTCTAAATAAAATACACTAAAAATATAAAAATAAAATTAAACCATCCTCTTAAACATGAAAGTAACTAAATATTAATAAATAAATAAATAAATATCAAAGGAAATAGAAGTAAAAAATAACTGCCATTGTTTTCAACCTATGGATTTTCCGATTATTCATCCCTATATTTTCCTAGATGTTTATGGCCCATGCGAGCGTATACTCGGAATTGGGAATAAGAAATCTCTTATCGTCCGCGTATGATAAGACAATCTTATTTTTAAGCTCTACATACATATTGTGTAAATGTGAACGGAAAGTAGTCATCGAGCGATGGATTTTCGTACCTGCTACATCGACCGTGTTTTTATAATCATCCAAACTAATATCTTGTTTGGTGATGTAGTCAGGCACGCCTTTGGCCTTTTTCGTTAACTCACCATCCACATTTACACAATATGCTTTAGCCCCAGTTCCATAAAACTCCCACAAAATTTTTCCTGTATATTAATCCTTCATACGGCCTAACACAGATGAATTTGCAGGAATATTATGTGGGTTGCTTTGCGAGTAATTTGACGTATCGAATTTATCTAAATTTTCGCGCATGTCATCATAAAAATTATCGGTTTGAATTTGTAAAATTAGAGAATCGGTCAGTGTCGAGCAGTGAAGCTTTATTACCGTACTTTGGTTTAATATAGCTATACCAAAAATCGTACATAATAGTTTTGGAAATTTCCAAAATTGAAAAGCCTACGTAAATAGGTTTATTATATACGATTTTCTGTTTAGCCATATGTATTGCGACTAAATTCTCGCTAAAAATCGTTAAGTCTTTAAAATGCGGCTTGGAAATGTACGCTTCTGTCCCTATCTTTCTACCAATATTTTCCCAGTGGGTAAGTAACTTAATATTTACCCGTTTCTCCACGTTCTCCATTGTCTTTCCAAATACAGCGTTATTCATAAGTTTGAAAAAATCCTTTTCAAACTTATTTTCAGCATTATTACGCTTTGCTGTATTTAGATCAATGTAGGTTTTCAACCAGGGAGATTGGTTAAAGGATAAAATGCGATGAATTTTGGCAAGTTTCAGACCATGGTTCAACGCTTGTTGTAAATTTTGATAATGAATTACATATCTAACTTTAGAATTAAAATTGGGTATTAATTTTGAAACTTTAGATCCCTCTGGTTGAACGGACTCTGGGCAAAAGGGTAATTCGTTGTGCCAATCGTGTAAATGTTCCGGATACTCTAAATCAACTTCAAAAACATAACCTATATTGGAATTTTTATCGATATTCATAAAATTTAAGTTTGAAATTTCTTCCTCTGTTAGCCACGTAAAGATACGTGTTGGTAGATATTGCGACATGGCTACTCCATATAAATTGGTAGCATCCAAGTACATAATGTAGGAAGTAGGTTTGGAAGCGTTGTATATAGACATAAATGTATTATTCGCGATAGCTTTTCTAACACTACATTGACTGACACCGCCGCGAATCCCGTGTTTAAAGAAATGTATCATGTCTAAATCTGTCAATAATTCCAGCTCGATAGATGTAGTTTTCAAAGCCGCATCAAACGATAGGCATGGTGCTGTGAAATATTGACAAGGATCTAGACCGTATGTTTGTAGACACACCTCTCTAAAATTCTCAAAAACATCAGCATATAATAATAGTACGTCGGATTTTAAATATATATCTGAATATTCACCTAAAGTTTGACATTTAAATAAATTCCATACATTCAATGCACGCTCGTAATCTCCTTGTTTGATGGCTTCTTTTCTAAGTTCGTTATAGAAGCCATCAATGGGTGGAAGCTTGGTATCGTCTAATTTGGAAAAGCAATCTACGTACGAATATGGAAAAACACCCTTCATACGAAAAACCTTAAATTCTTCTTCGTTAGGAAAAACCTTTCTAACTTCGCAACACTGTTGAGACGTTAAATTTTGACTTACTTTATCCAAGCTCGATGCCATAAAGCGAAAACTGTCTAAAAATCTTAATTTTAAAAATACCTTTTGCTGTCGCTTTTCCTGTTCTTGTTGAGTGACGTCACCATCCACCATATAATATATTTAGTAAAAGAAATATACTTTTCTTTATTTTGGGGAATGACGTCTAATTGTTCTTCCTCAACGGCCAGTTCTTTTATAAAAAGATGGTTGTCAAAATTTGACATGTTGTGGAAGAACACAGGAATAAAATTAGGTACTTTAAAATTTAGGTTACAAACAGAGTGAGCCGCACCTCGATATCTTCCTCTTAAATGACAGTAGTCCCTTACTCTTTCATCTTCTACATTAAATGGTCTTTCGCAAATATGACAATGCGTTACCTGATAAATCTCAGCTTCTTGTACGCTATTGAGAGGAGGCATGGATACAATATTTTTCATAAATCGATTGTAGATTGATTTACAATCAGCCTCTAACCAATCTATGAAAACTTTATGTGCATCGAGCCCTCTAAAAGTCTTGAAAATCGACTGAGAATTATCAAAATCGCATTTAATGTAATAGGCAAAAGAATAAGGAACGTATTGGTGTATTTTTGTGATGTCGTCTCATTCCAATACGGGAAAATCAAACACATGTTCACCCTTTGAATACATTTATTCGAATTAGCTAACCTAGTTACAAAAGATGGTATGCTATCCTTTGTTGTTGCAATAATTAATGAAATATTAAACAAATAATTGTTGGGTAACCAGGTCGCACTACATTTTCACCGTATAGGAAATTTCAGGATCCAGCATTTCAGGATCAGTAGAATGAACTTTATTCTGGCCACAAATAAAGGACATTCGGCGTAAGCAAAAATTGACAATAATAATTATATGATATCCATTGAGTGTCGCAATTTTATAAATAAACTGTTGCTTTAATTAAGTTTACCAATATACTAACCTATTAACTAGATATTATTAAAAATAACAAACATAAAAAATACGACAAAAAATCTATATCTATAGAACCCATATACAGGGTGAGTTTCCTACGATGTTCTTCTGTATGGGTATCTCAGAAACTACTGGAGATAGAGAGTCGGTTAAATGGGGAAAGAATTGCAGTTTTGTGGGGTCATAAATATGCGCATTTCAGATTTTTGAAAAAGTTCATGGCTTACTAGATATTTTGAAAAAAACAAATTTCGTCTATTTTAAAAATTGTCCCTAATTCCATTATAAGCTATTTTAGACAAAGAGTTTTCAGATAAAAGTTGTAGATAATCACATTCTTAATGAGACTGTGTCCTCCGCTTTTTTCTAAAGCCTGTCATTTTTGACATACGACACAAACATAGGTTTTTTTAAATGGAAAGCATAGTTGGCCATGGCTTCATAAAAAGCGCCATTGATTAAGATTTTCAGCGATATAAGCTATAACATGTTGTCTTCGAAAAATTACTGAGTTATAGCCAATTCTTATCATTTTTAAACAATTTCACATAGTTAGCCATGGAAACAAGTTTAATCGTCTTTGCTCTCATATATGTGAAGCTGTCACATCCAAACTTTGCAAATTAAAATAAATAAAAATTGTAAATATGAATTTTTCAAATGAAAACAAGCGTGTAGGATTATTGGTTCAACTTTTCTTGACCATACATTTTCGAGGATACGTTGACCGGTGAATGTTACGTTTTTTTAGAGAACGGTTTTCAAGATATGTTAGAAAAGTTAAATTTAGTTATAGCCAATTCTTATCTTTCTTGACTAATTTCACTTAGATTGCATGGTATTCTTATTCTGTTATGATTTATAACTTATAAAAAGTCAGAATATATTACTAAACGGTTCTTTACAATTTACATTACACAAACTAAAACTTAAAAAAATAATATCACTATATACACTTTAAGTTATTTTAGAAAATGTTCAAAAAATCCGCCATTGTTTTGAGTTGCATGTTTTTAAAATTGAATTACTACCTATTCTCACAGAAGGACCGGTCGACTTAATTAAACTTTTCTCGTACCGTCACTTCGAGTGCCTCTCTTAATTCATAAGTTCTTTTGTAAACCTTATTGTTAACTATACCGCATAAAAAAATATAAAATGGATAGGTCAGGTGATCGAGGAGGCCCATGCAATTACGAGTAGTCCGCCTCTTCCTATCCCTGCGTTTGTATAATTATAATATAAATAATTTTTAACATTTCTTTCATTATGGCTGGTGAGGGGTGGTGTGTCATAATGAAAGGTCATGTTGGAACCACTCTATTGATGCGCGAGTATCTACACGCTTTTCTTCATTTTAAAAATTCATATTTAAAATTTTTGTTTATTTCAATTTACAAAGTTTGGATGTGACAGCTTCACATTTCTGAGAGCAACTGCGATTGAACTTGTTTCCATGGCTACCTAAGTGAAATTGTTTCAAATGATAAGAATTGACTATAACTCAGTAATTTTTTGAAGAAAAGATATTATAGCTTATATCACTAAAAAGCTTAAAAAATGGCGCTTTTTATGAAGTCATGGCCAACTATGGTTTCCATTTAAAAAAACCTATGTTTGTGTCATATGTCAAAAATGACAGGCTTTAGAAAAAAACGGAGGACACAGTCTCATTAAGGATGTGATTATCTACAACTTTTATCTGAAAACTTTTTGTCTAAAATAGCTTATAATGGAATTAGGGACAATTTTTAAAATAGCCGAAATTTGTTTTTTTCGAAATATCTAGTAAGCCATGAACTTTTTCAAAAATCTGAAAGGCACATATTTATGACCCCACAAAACTGCAATTCTTTCCCCATTTAACCGACTCTCTATCTCCAGTAGTTTCCGAGATACCCATAGAGAACATCGTAGGAAACTCACCCTGTATATAATAATAAAATATTACCTATCCTATTTACATTAATATACCTGGTCTTGGTTAAAAAATGTAAAAATAAAAGTATAATTATTAGTGTACCATTTCATAAGACTATAAATTATTATAAGTACATGTTTCACAATAAAATTAAAAAAAAAATATTTCTAAAATAGAGATTTACACATAATGACTTAAAAATAATTTATCTACCTCAGCATTTCTATACTGACCTAACTTAACTATTTTTATACACGAGCTTTTTGTCTATGCTATGAAATTCTTAGAAATACGAATAAAGTTTTGCTAATTGTTATTGTAACGAACGCACTCTGTTTTTATGCACTTTCATTTGCTTTCCGTTAGTTTCCGCGCAATTTTTGATCACACAATTTACACCTTCAATACTAATAATTGAGTAGGGACCCTTATACCAAGGATCAAATTTGGTTCTATTTTCGTTAGATAACATAACCAAATCGCCGGGTTTAAAATTAGTTTTATTTGAAAGTTTGTCATAAATTACTTTACGGTTTTGTTTAGCTTTGAAAATGAATTCGTTCGCGCGTTTATTGGCTAATTGCATTCTATATTTTACTTCATGATAGTAAGCGTCTAAGTCATATACAGGATCTACAGTATCACCTGAAAGTGTTTCAGAAATCATTGCCTTCCGTCCGAATACCAGTTCAAACGGTGAAAAATCATGATAGATGCTGGGCGTTGTGTTATAACAGAAACTGTAATATTGTACCCAGTTATCCCAGTCAGATTTTACATCATTTATATACATTCTGAGGTACTCATTCAGAACTCTATGATTTCTTTCACATCCTCGTATCGTTTGACTATGGTCAGGAGTTGAAAATTTTTGACTTATGTTGAGCATTTTAGTTAGATTTGCAAAAATTTCATTTTTGTATTCGGTGCCTAAATTTGTTCTTATTTCCTTCATTGAACCATAAATAAGTATGAAATGATCCATTATAGCTCTTGCTACCGTTACGGCCTCTTTATTAGGTAAAGGAATGATGACTATGTACTTGGTTAATTCACATTGAATTGTGACTGCATACACATTATTTTTTGGTGTTTTCATAAAAGGACCTACTGTGTCGATTGATGTGAAGTCAAATGCTTTTTGAGGAGTAGGGGTTATTACCATTGGCTCTTGGTTTTTCACTCTGCCTTTATTTAATTGGCACTTATGGCAGTTTTTAATGTATACAGCAACTTCTTTCAACATACCTTTCCATCTGTAATTGACTCTTAACTTTTTAAGTAGTTTTTTCTGTCTACAGTGTCCACCAATTAATGGATCATCGTGATATTTTTGTATTACAGCGAGTTTCTCATCTTTATTTTTAATAACTTGTGGTTCCTTAAATAACAAAATGTTACCCTTTTTAAATTTTTCTTGACCAATTTCTTTTAATTCATTTATTGTGCACATTCGAAAAATTTGGTCATTTAATTTTAACTTTAAACTTTCAATATTATGATCATTAGCCATTGATTCAAGCTTAGGCAATACTTCCTCTAGAGAAAAATTACCATTAATGATCGGAATGTTTGATTCAGCGCTGAATCTTCCTTTTAATCTCATTATTATCCTAAGATATAATGATTTAATTTCAAAACTTACTGTAAATTAAGTATACTGCTATTGTCTAAGGTTTCGTAAATTTTAGGTAGAATAAGTATTTTATTTTGCGAAGAGTCATATGTGTCAGAGTTTTTATTTTCCTGTTTTTTAGTCATTGACCTTGTTACAGCTAGTATTTTAGCCGATTGATTAGAAATATCTTTTAAATCAGATGTTGTTATTCTTGACAGTGCGTCCACACCTACATTGTTTTTCCCTTTGATATACTCGACTTCAAAATCATATTCCTTTAAATCGAGTCTCATGCGAGTTAACTTTGATGAAGGATTTTTCATCGAAAATAAATATTGTTACGTTTTTCGTCGGTTCCGTGTGGATAGAAAGTCACAATTTATTTAAACACTATTTATTTAACACTAATTAACAAAACTAATAACGATAAACGACTTATAGAACTATTTACAAACGATTTATAACTAAGAATTTATTTTGAATTTTAGCGCGTCAACTGTATATTTATAACTGCCCTCTCTAGGCTACTACTGCCGCCGGCTTTTATACCGACAGGTAAAAGAAATCTAGAATAGTCCAAAGATCGTTAGGCGCATAGGGAAGGTTTTCGAATGTTCTCGTATGTACG